TCTGAGATAAAAGACTAAAACTAAAGTTTATTAAATTTATTAATGTTATGAGATAAAAGACTAAAACTAAAGTTTAATGAATTTATTAATGTTGTTCTGTAATAAATGTCAAGTCAACTCAAGTCAAATTTATTTGTATAACACATTTAAAACAGGAACTGTTAAAAAAGTGCATTGACAAAAAAAAGTCTAATACTAAAAGAGTTTAATACATTTAGTTCTTCTTCTTCTTTCGGCTTTTCCCTCTTCAGGGTCTCCACAGTGAGTCCTCCTCCATCACTCTGTCCTCACTCCATCTACCTCCATGTCCTCTCTAACTGCATCCATATGTCTCCTCTTTGTTTTTTTCCTGCAGCTGCATTTCTAACATCTTTCTACCAATATACCCACTGTCCCTCCTCTGGACATGTCCAAACCACTGTCTCTCCTCTGGACATGTCCAAACCACTGTCTCTCCTCTGAATATGTCCAAACCACTGTCTCTCCTCTGGACATGTCCAAACCACTGTCTCTCCTCTGGACATGTCCAAACCACTGTCCCTCCTTTGGACATGTCCAAACCATCTCAGTGTGTCCTCTCTAACTTTATCTCCCAGTTGTTCAACCTGTGCTGTACCTCTGATGAACTCATTCCTAAACTCCATCCTTGTCTCTCCTAAGGAGAACCTGAACATCTTCATTTCTGCTACTTCCAGTTCTGTCTCCTGTCTTTTTGTCCATGTCTCTGTCTCCAGACCATACAACAGAGCTGGTCTCACCACTGACTTGTAAACTTTTCCTTTGACCTTTGCTGACACCCTTTTGTCACAAATCACTCCTGAAACTTTTCTCCATCACTCCGTCCTGCCTGGACTCTCTTCTTCACCTCTTCACCACACTCCCCATGTTCCTGGACAGTGGACCCCAAGTCCTTGAAGTCCTGCACCTTTGTGACCTCTGCTCCTTGTAGCCTCACTGTTCCACCTCCTCCCTCTCATTCACACATGGACTCTGTCTTACTACGGCTGACTTTCATTCCTCTTCTTTCAAGTGTGTACCTCCACCTCTCCAAGTTCTCTTCCACCTGTTCCCTGTTCTCATCACAGATCACAATGTCATCTGCAAACATCATCGTCCACGGAGATTCCTGCCTGACCTCAATCTTTTTCTTCTTTGTCTTAGTCCATTGTCTTTTAGTTCATATCTTAGATCTTATTACTATTTTTCTTTTACATTTGATTGTTGGATGGAACTGACCCTGTGTACATAATTTCACTCCATCACATGTGGTGCGAACAACAATAAATTATATCTGAATCTGAATCTGTTAGTCGGTCCATCACCAGAGAAAACAAGAAGGGGCTCAGAGCCGATCCTTGATGCACTCCTATCTCCACCTTGAAGCTATATGTAACTCCTACAGCACCACTGTCCTGCTGTCCTTATATATGTCCTGCTGTCCTCATACATGGCCTGTATCAGTCTAACATATGTCTCTGCCACTCCAGATTTCTTCACACAACACCACACCTCCTCCCTCGGTACCCTGTCAGATGCTTTTTTTAAATCCACAAAGACACAATGGAGTTCTTTCTGACCTTCTCTGTACTCCTCCATCAGCATCCTCAAAGCAAAGATGGCGTGGCCAGACAGCATCGGATGGTTGTGTGTAGAATGAATGTTGTTGTGAAGAAGAGAAAAAGAGTAAAATCAGAGAAGAAGACCAAATGGTGGAAGATGAAGAAGGAAGATTGTTGAAAAATTCGGAGAGGAGCTGTTAAGAAAGAGCTTCCAGATGACTGGACTACTACAGCAACAGTAATTAGAGAGACAGGTAGGAAGGTACTTGGTGAGTCATCTGGACAGAGAATGGATGATCAGGAAACCTGGTGGAGGAATAATGAAGTGCAGGAAGCTGTTCAGAGAAAAAGTTCAAATACAAGTTCAAGTCAAGTTTATTGTCATTCACATCACATGTGGTACATGAGGTGGAACGAAATTATGTACTCACGGTCCCAGTTACATCAAAAAATAGCAAAATATAAAGTGTAAAAATAAACAGTATATAAGGATCTAAGATATACACTACACTAAACAATAATAATGTAAAACAATATAGTGTATCAACAGCAGCCCAAACATGAGTCTGTGGTGAGCAGATGGGTATGAATGAATACAGAAGCATGAGATAATCAGCAGCACAGATAAGTCACATATCACCAATTAAAGTGGCATCACAGTGATTCTTCTGGTTAGAGATTCATGAGTCTAACTGCCTCAGGGTAGAAGCTGTTCCTCAGTCTAGTGGTTCTACACTTAATGCTCCTCAACCTGCCTGAGGGGAGCGGGGCAAAAAGTGTATGTGCTGGGTGAGTGGGGTCCTTCATGATGCAGGTGGCCCTCTTCCTGCATCTGGAGGTGTAGATGTCTGTGATGGTGTGGAGGCTGACTCCAACATCTTCTGTGCAGCCTTCACCACTCTCTGCAAAGCTTTTCTTTCTGCAGCTGTGCAGCCTCCATGCCACACGTTGATGCTGGAGCACAGGATGCTCTCCACTGCACACCTGTAGAAGGAGGTGAGGACTGAGCTTCCCAGACCAGCTCGTCTCAGCCGCCTGAGGAAGTAGAGTCTCTGATGAGCTTTCTTGAGCAGGCTGGTGGTGTTGTTGCTCCAGCTGTTGTTATTCAGGTGCACACCCAAGTACTGGAGGCCACTTCTACCCCAGGTGGAAAAAAGTTAGCCAAGAAGAAATATGACAGTGAGAGGACTGAAGAGAGGAGACAGGAATATAAGGAGATGGGACGTAGAGCAAAGAGGGAAGTGGCTAAGGCAAAGCAGAGGGCGTACGATGTGTTGTATGGGAGACTGGACACTAAAGAGAGTGAGAAGGACTTGTACTGATTAGCGAGACCAAAGGATCAGGCTGGAAAGGATGTGCAGCAGGTTAGGCTTGTAGATAGGAATGGTAATGTTCTAACAAGTGGAGAGTGTGATGGGAAGATGGAAGGAGAACTTTGAGGAGCTGATGAATGAAGAGAATGAAAGAGAAAGAAGAGTAGAGGTCATAGAAACTGTGGACCAGGAAGTGGGAAAGATTAGTGAGGGTGAAGTCCGGAAAGCTCTGAAAAGAATGAAGAAGGTGAAGGCAGTAGGACCTGATGAAATACCAGTGGAGGTTTGGAAATGTCTTAGAGAGATGACAGTGAGGTTTTTGACTCAAATATTCAATGGCATATTTAAGAGTGAGAAAATGCCTCAGGAATGGAGAAGAAGTGTGCTGGTGGACATTTTTAAGAACAAGGGTGATGTACAGAGTTGTAGCAATAACAGGGGAATTAAATTGATGAGTCACACGCTGAAGCTCTGGGAGAGAGTTGTGGAAGCAAGACTTAGACGAGAGGTGACTATCTGTGAGCAGCAGTATGGTTTCATGCCAAGAAAGAGCACCACAGACGCCATCTTTGCTTTCAGGATGCTGATGGAGAAGAACAGAGAGGATCAGAAAGAACTCCATTGTGTCTTTGTGGATTTAGAAAAAGCATCTGACAGGGTGCTGATGGAGGAGGTGTCTTGTTACATGAGGAAATCTGGAGTGGCAGAGAAACATGTTGGACAGGTACAGGACATGTATAAAGATATGAGGACAGCAGGACATGATGTATGAGGACAGCAGGACAGTGGTGAGATGTGCTGTAGGAGTGACAGACAGCTTCAAGGTGGAGGTGGGAGTGCATCAAGGATCGGCTCTGAGCCCCTTCTTGTTTGCTCTGGTGATGGACCGACTAACAGATGAAGTCAGGCAGGAATCAAGTGGACGATGATGTTTGCAGATGACATTGTGATCTGTGGTGAGAACAGGGAACAGGTGGAAGAGAACTTGAAGAGGTGGAGGTATGCACTTGAAAGAAGAGGAATGAAAGTCAGCCGTAGTAAGACAGAGTCCATGTGTGTGAACGAGAGGGAGGAGGTGGAACAGTGAGGCTACAAGGAGCAGAGGTCACAAAGGTGCGGGACTTCAAGTACTTTGTACTTGGGGTCCACTGTCCAAGAAAATGGGGAAGCAGGAGGACACGAAGAGCTTGAGTGAAATAAAACCATTTTAATAAAATAAGAAAACAAAAGTCGGGCGTGGCAGAAAACCTAGTTCTAAACCAGTTCTGTCAGGACTGGTTTAGGACCAGATCTGGACTGGGTCCAGAGGATCAGTAGAATCAGACACCTGAGACTTTAAGAACTGTTGATTCATTTAATTAAACATCCCACAGAACCATGAGCCCTGGATTATTTAAACAATTATCAATAATTAATAAAATGGATCATCTTTGTCAACAAGAACTTTTATTGTGAAAATCTACAGGAAATCAGGTTTTAGTAACTTCAGCACAAAACTGCAGTTACAAACAAAAAAACTTATATTTAAAATCATAATTTATAAATCAGTCTGAATATTAATAATGTGATGTGATTATTGATATTGATATTTTAAATTATTTTATACCCTGTAAAATATAAATGTAAATAATCAATAATCAAACTATTGAACGTTTTATTATTACAATAATATCACAAATTTAATGACAGAAGAGTTTCAATGATTGTATGTTTTTAGTTTGAAGTAAAAGGTTTGAATTTGTTGTGTTTTTAAATCTGTAATAATTCTTGAGATGAATTTTACAGACGAGCCCGTTCCTCTTCACGTCCAAATAAAATTTAATTGATTTGAAATCGTTTTTAGGCCCAAACAGAACGAACACGAAGGATAAACGTTCCCACAAAAAAAAAAAACAGTTGTCAAACATCTGGCTCCACATGTGGAGGCGAGAAGAAAAAACATTTTCAACTCGTCTCTGTTAACGAGCGACCTTCAGGTTGACCTCAGCAGGTTCATCAGTTTCAAACGAAAGCCCACTTCCTGTCTCTAACGGGTCGCTGCTACTCCCCTCGGCGCCGACCTGATTGGACTCCAGAACATTTTGTTTGTGACCAGAGTGTGTGACTGACGAAGGCTGCGGCTCAAGGCAACCGGTGACACTTCCTCCCTGCGCCGGACACGAGGCGGCGGCGGCCCGTCGCCCCGACAACCGGCTGAAAATGGCTTTCCTTAACCAAACTCATAAAGCACGGGGCGATAAAAGTCAATCTTCTGTAAAATCCAATTAAGTCATTATCTGACTGATTGTATCTTTAATTGAAAACAGAAGTGACAGTAAATTTCTGTGATATATCAGGATCAATCGATACGGCCGTCCAATCCGCTCGCAGCAGGTGATTTATGGCGCCAAAGCCTTGGAGGTAACTCCACATTCTTCTCTCTAAAACCACTCGGGGATGAAATTAAGAGTAAGTGCATTTCATAAAAACACAAGACGGCGGTGTTATTGATTACAACAGATGGGGCAGAGTCCAATGAATGTTCCGACAGCGCAGCCCAAAGAAAATACAAGTAATTTTCTTTGTTGGCAGCTCAACGCTCGCACTCCATCACCGAGCAGCAGCTTCATTTCCCTAAAACTTGTAACCACATAAACTCCAAAGCTCTTCTGTTGCTGTCGGCCTCAAACACAAATAAACATTAGGCAAGAAGAAATCTCAATGAGTCCATCAGAACGTCCTCAACGTTTCTGCTTTTCCAGCTCCTCAGAACTGGAGCCCGGCTGTCACGACCCTCAGAACGAACAGATACTGATAATAAACGATAAGGTTTATCACGACATAAAGGTTACAGGAGCTTTTCAGCCAAATCTCAGTTTGATCAAACCTGGAGGGCCACAAGGAGGCAGGCGCCATAAAACGTTGGAAATATTTAGTGTTACGGCCTAAATGACCAGTTAAACCTACAAGAAGCAGAGAGAAACTTCAGTCCTGAAAGGGTTAAACAAACAATAAACATGTGAATAAACGAGCTCGTCACATGTCAACAGAGCAGAGGGAAACACGCTTCAAGTCCGAGAGCCACGGTTCCTCTCACAAACCTGAAAACACGCAGCGTCGCTCTGTAGTTATCTGGTCTGAGATCAGATTCAGAGGATGTTTGAAGGGGGGGCAGATGGGGGCCTTGGCCCCATAGATTAATCTTCGGCCACCCCTGCCATTTGATAAAACTATGTTTTAAAGCAAAATAAAAACTAGGCAGCATATTTTCCTTAAATGATCAGAGTGGTCAGTTTACATGTGGTGGTGATGGTGGCCATCTTGGATTTTGACGTGGCAGCCAAACACCGAACTGGAAGCTCCATACCTCACATTTCTTTACCTTATGCTCACAACATGCACAACGATGGATGGACAAACATTTTTTAACTCAAACATCAACATTAAAGAGTTATTCAGGAGTAAAAGCTGAAAAACAAAGAAAATGCAGATATGAAGAATAAAAATGTTGTATATTTTAAGCTGATTGGGTGATGATTTGAATTAACGCACATGCGCTGCCAAACAAACTAAACTAACGTGATTTCAGAACAGAATTCTGTCAGATTAAATGTTGAATCTTCAAAAAGTGAACGTCTGATTCTGAGAGCAGGAAAAAAAACTTCATGTCGTCTTTCTGCTCTTTGAAGACCCGGAGTTAAACTTCAGCTCCGTCTCGGGGGTGGCGGCTCCATCTTCTACTTGCTGCTGTCGCCATCGACTCCATCGATGGTGAAGGTTTGACCGCCAGCGTCGCACTCGGCCTTCAACTCGGAGGGATCCAGGGAGCTGACGGAGCGACAGGTGGAGTCGTGTGAGGAGGAGAAGGCTGCAGGAACGAGAGCAACAGAGTCCAGGTCAGAGTTTATCGAAGGTCTCAGAGCTTCAAGGCTAATCAGACCATCAAACATCTGGAGGCAGGTACCTTCAAACAGTTCAAACACACCAACATGTCAGTCCAGTTCTGATGACATCATCAGAAGGAACCACTGAGCTTGATCCCAGCTCAGAGATCTACTGTATTAAAATGAAACATTTCCATCGTACAATGACCCAGAACTTTATTATCAGAACAAAGTCCGAAACCCGACTTTCAGCCCAGCAGTCTGGTTTTCAAATAAACTACAGCATATACTGTACTGCCATAAACTACAGCAAATACTGTCATAAACTACAGCATATACTGCCATAAACTACAGCAAATACTGTCATAAACTACAGCGGATACTGTCATAAACTACAGCGAATATTGTCATAAACTACAGCATATACTGTCATAAACTACAGCGGATACTGTGATAAACTACAGCGGATACTGTCATAAACTACAGCGAATATTGTCATTAACTACAGCGAATATTGTCATAAACTACAGCATATAATGTCATAAACTACAGCATATACTGTCATAAACTACAGCATATACTGTCATAAACTACAGCATATACTGCCATAAACTACAGCATATACTGTCATAAACTACAGCATATACTGTCAT